CCTTTAGACCCTCCGTTCCCAGTGTTTCATCTTCGTCGATGTCGAGCCCCTTCCATACGTCCTCTACAACCTTGACCCATTCCGTGGGTTGTCTACCCCTCTTTTTGTTTGCCCACTTCGCCTCCCATACAATTCTCGGCAACCTCTCCTCTCCCATCCCGCACATGCGATACTGCCAGGTCAGCTTCCTCGCGTCTCTTCCCGACCGTAGGGATTGGATCCCCAATTCTGCCCTCACGGCTGCATTACTTGTGCGCCTGGAGCATCCTAGGATGGTTTTCGCTGCTTTCATCTGCGCCGCCTCGAGTTCTTTCACTACCTTCTTATTTCCTTCCCATACTTCTCTGGCGTACTCTAGCGGCGGTATGATTACGCTCTTCAATACCTTCAAATTGATGCGTGTATCCAGGGGCCGGTTTGCGAGTATTGGGTGCAGCTTCCCTGCTCGTGCTTTGCCCTTTTCCGCTACCTTGGACATGTGTGCATTCCACGAGCAGTCTTTTGCGATCTCTACTCCGAGGTATGTGTACTGGTCCACTACTGCAATCTCCTCGATCCCCCACTTCCATCTATGTTCTACTGGTTCCTCCTTGTTCTCGTTGCATACCATGACGGCACTCTTCTTAACGTTGGCAGACAATCTCCACTTATCAGTAAACTTCTTCGCCGCGTCAATTTGCATTTGCAGTTCCTCAGGGGTGTCCGACACACTGACAAAATCATCCGCAAACAGCATTCCTGAAACCGACGTTTCCGTGTCCCCTACTTTTACTCCCTTCCGGACTGCCTCTACGACTTCCAACAGATCGTTGATGAACACCTGGAACAATGTTGGGGACAGCGTGCAACCTTGTGGGACCCCCTGCTCAATGTCGAAGAATTTTGACAGTTCTCCGTCTAGCATGACCGCGCTTTTCGTACACTCTGTCATCTTCTTCAGCACTCTCCACATTTTCCCCTTGATCCCGTATTTGGACAGTTGTTTCCACAACCCATTTCTCCATACGGTATTGTATGCCTTTCTTACGTCCAGGAAGAAGCAGTACGTCGGCTTTCCCGCCCTCTTTCTACCTTGGATGATTCTCCCTACCGTGAACACGTGGTCTACGCACCCCCTCTTCTTGCGGAAACCTGCCTGGCCCTCACTAATGCTATGTTCCTTCTCCAATACTCCCACTATCCTATCGTTCAGCAGCTTACAGAACACTTTTCCTACTGTGTTCAACAGTGTGATCCCCCTGTAGTTTCCTGGGTCAGTCTTGTCTCCTTTCTTAAACAAGTTCACAGCCACTCCTTCCCTCCATCTACTTGGCGTATACTCGTTTTTCCACACCCAATTGTACAGCAGTACCATCAGCTGGATCATCCCCTTCCCCCCAAACTTCATGAACTCGTCGACTATCCCATCCGCTCCTGCTGCCTTGTGGCACTGCAGCTTGTTCACACACGCCTCAACCTCGTCCTCAGTGAACTCCTTTTCTAGTTCCACGTTCCCAACGTCTGCCTTTGATATCTCTTCTTCTTTTTGGGCCCGTGCGTCCACCTCCTTCTTAAATACTTGGTCAAAAGGTTCATTCTCCGAGGGCACTCCAAGTCTCTTGTAGTGTCCTGCTAGAA